GTTTATCTTTTGTTTGCTTATTAATCAAGTGTCGATATGAAATTTGATAAAATGCGTTCCACAAAGATACGCACTCGCACGCCTGCGACTTAATTGCGATCGATTATTTAATTTATATTACAAGATACGTCGTTTATAAACATTCACGCTTTGGCGAGCGGGAATCACGCCCGTGCAAAATTCAATCAATCTCGATCGCGAGATCGCGTTAAAAAGCAACGATATTCTTCGCATGTCAACTTCTGCTAAAATCTGATATGGCGTGACGCTCTGTATGAATTCTCATGCGATCGTGGTTTATGGAAAATCAAATAAGTTCACGCGAATCTATCCCGTTCAGTTTCAATCTATTTACACGATATTACGTCCGAATTTTATTCGCGATCATGTTGGGAATAATGCAATACATACTTTGTATATCCGGCACGCAATCCTTCTTTAATTTATAAAAATGCCGAAACACGCGCGATCGAACTTTGCGACTCAAGTTTAAGTAAATACGCATGTGCATGTGAAAGAGCGCGTATGTATCGAAGAAGGCATAAACTGATCTGCATCAATCAACCCGAATAATTAATATGGAAGTCGATTTGACATAACAGAATCGCATCTATCGCATTATCTTTCGAAACTTTCTGCAATTATGTCACACGAAAGTAATAATAATAATTTATGATATCATTAAGAGCAATTGTTGTAAATTCGATCGACATCGAATCATGCTTATTAGTATTGAAAGCACTTGTAATTTCGATAAATACAAAAATCTATATATTTTGATAAGGACTCTAAAAAAAGGCAACTTATTGATTGATTAAATACGACGAGCAAATCAAGTTTATCGGTCAGATAATTTTTCTTTTATTAATTTACAATAAAATTTATTCGGTGAAGTTGTAGAAAAAATATCCTTAACGAGTCGCAATAGACTGATTATGGGATACAATAAAGCGCAATAAGTCGCGAATCTCGCTACCTTTTTTTTCGACGAGCGATTGTTTTTCCGGTCAAAACCTTCGATTTTAAATGTGAACGACGATTATACAATAGAGGCGCGTTTCTCTAGATATTCTCGATATCCATAGCCTTGCCGCCATCAATTAATAAGTTCTACGGCGGTGTGCAATGTAGCGTGTAAAAACGACTTGTCACTGACATTACAATTGACAACGCTGGTAGCAGCATATAACAATTGCTTTTCTTCTTATAAGGAATGCCGATTGCTTACTTATCGGACGTTATCTTATCGTGCGATAAGTATTGCGGGAAGTATATGTCTAAAGAGAATGAAGATTAACCGATAATATTCTTTCTCTCTGTCTCTCTCTCTCTCTCTCTCTCTCTCTCTCTCTCTCTCTTTTTTCTAAATCTACTGTAATTACTGATTGTTTCAACAAATTCTAGATGGTAACAAGAACGTTGTTTTCCATGGCGGAGTGGATCAATGTGCGCTTGCAATTTAATTTCTATAATTAGGCTCGCGATCTAAACTATTCCCTGAACGACAGTGATTATGTTCGTAAATAAACGCAGCATACAATGATCGAACGAATGCACGCGGTGCAAGTAGCTTATTATTTAATTTATGTGTTATTAAGCGTCGCGAGGAGCCGCGAGCACAAGATTGTTAATGTCAAATGATCGATCGCGAAACTTCGATAAGGAAGATCATGGAGCAAGGATTCTTGCACATTGAAATCACCATGACTAGCATTTAATTCATTTACAACTTCGAAGAAAGGGTCGTCGACATTTGAAATCAGTTAATCGTGATTTTTGCCAAAAAATTAACAATAATTTTTACATGAATTTATTAAAGTTTATTTGGCATTTATGATATTTGTTTTAATTACAATCATTTAAAAGTGCTGTGCTTTTTGTAAAAAAATGTAAAATGTAAAAGTAAAAAATATTTTGATAATATATTTGTAAAATTTGAAAAAAATTTACGTAAATTTATATGATATTGGTTTTTTGTTTAATGAAGAAATTAACTATGTAAAAAATATACGAAGGCAAAATTAATTACCCAATTTTTTAAAATTAATTACGCAACCTATGGGAGAAAAAATGTCAAAGTCGAGCACATAGATAAATACTATATGTTGAATTATGATTAAAATATAATAATATTGATTTTCTGTGAGTACTCTGTTCAAGTCAACTTTAAAAATATAAGCATAATGCAATTCATTATGATCGTATTATTTATTATGCAAAGTTTCTGAATGACTGATTATTTGAAATTATAGTATTATATAATTATATCAAGCTGAACTTTAAAACATAACGGTTTTTTTTATAAACTGATTTTTTATTGTTTTTCCCGTGAAATCGATTTTTTATGCTAGGCTATTTTTAATATATCGGACAGAATAAAGTATTTTTTAAATTTATTTTTTTATAAATAATAATTTCTTTTTCTTAAGAAAATTAAAAGAAAAGTGTTATGAATAAAATCAAAACTCTATTAATCAAGATATTGAACTTATCTTTGATTATTTTCGATTATCTTTCTACTGAAAGGAAAAATGACAAACTTTCTGTTTAATTTAATATATACAATCACTTCCAACAATTCTGCGATTATTCATTTATTAAAATCTCGTAACGAACGCATGATTCACGGATGTCGCATAAGCAAGAGACGTTTGCACCTCACGTATCTTTGCTATGTAAAGAATGTAAAGAAAAGTGATCTTGATGGGGGAGATGTGATACGAGCATCGATTTCTGCAGGTTGATCGTTACGCTATC